GTAGTGGGAACATATGTCAACACAATAAAGTCCATATATGACAAACCCACAACTAACAGCAGATTCAATGGAGAAAAGCTCAAAGTTTCTCCTCTAAGAATCAGGAATAAGACAAAAGTACCCACTCTCACCATGTTTATTCAGCACAGTACTGGAAGTCCTAGCCACAGAGAGACTAAATAAATAAATAAATAAATAAATAAATAAATAAATAAATGGCATCTAAATTGGAAAGAACATAAAACTGTAACTATTTACAGATAACATCATATTATATACAGAAAACCCTAAAGGAATTACCAAAAAAAAACCAAAAAACTTGTAGAACCAACTAATGAATTCAGTAAAGTTGAAGGATACAAAATAAATATACAGAAATCTGTTTTGTCTCTATATAATTAACTATCAGAAAGAGAGATTAAGAAAACAATTCATTTATAATTGCATCAAAAAGAATAAAATAGCTAGGAACAAATTCAACAAAGAAGGTGAAAGACCTGTACTCTGAAAACTGTAAGACACTGATGAAAGAAACTGATAATGACACAAATAAATGGAAAAATATGCCATGCTCATGGATTGGAAGAATTAATGCTGTTAAAATATCCATACTACCCAAAGCAATCTACAAATTCAACGTAATCTCTATCAAAATACCAATGGCATTTTTTCACAGAACTGGAACAAATAATCCTAAAGTTTGTATGGGACCACAAAAGACTCCAAATAGCCAAAGCAATCCTGAGAAAGAGGAACAAAGCCAGCGATATCATGCCCCCTGATTTCAAACTATACTACAAACCAATAGTAATCAATAAAGTATGGTACTAGCACAAAAACAGTCACATAGATCAATGGAACAGAACACACAGCCCAGAAGTAAGCTCATGCTTATGGTGAATTAATCTATGACAAAGGATACAAGAATATAAAGTGAGGAAATGGCAGTCTTTTCAATAAATAGTGTTGGGAAAATTGGACAGCTGTGCACAAAAGGATCTACTACTTTCTTACACCATATACAAAAATAAAGTCAAAATGGATTAAAGACTTATATGTAAAACCTAAAACTGTAAAATCCCTAGAAGAAAACATAGACAATAAACTCTTTACATCAGTCTTAGCAAAATCTTTTTGGATCTGTCTTCTCAGGCAAGGGAAACAAAAGCAAGAATAAACAAATGGAACTAATCAAAGAAAAAAGTTTTTGCACAGTGAAGGAAACCAACAACAAAACAAAAAGGCAACCTACTGAATGGGGAAAGATGGCAAATGACATATCCAATAAGGGTTTAATATTAAAACTATACAAAGAACTTAAACAACTCAATACCAAAAAAAAAAACAAAACAAACAACAACAACAACAAAAACAAGCAATCTGATTAAAAAATGCGCAGAGGACTTGAGACAACATTCATCCAAGGAAGACATATGGATTACCAACAGATACATGAAAAGATGCTCAATATCCCTAATTATCAGGGAAATGCAAATCAAAACCACAATGAGATATCAACTCACACCTGTCAGAAAGGCTTTAACCAAAAAGACAACAAATAACAAGTGTTGGCAAGGAGAAAAGGGAACCCTCGTACATTGTTAGTGGGAAATGTAAACCGGTGAAGCCACTGTAGAAACAATATGGAGGTTCCTCAAAAAATAAAAACAGAACTACCAGAAAATCCAGCAATTCCACCTCCTGGGTTTCTATCTGAAGGAAACAAAAACACTAATTCAAAAAGATACATGCACCCCATGTTCATGACTTATTTATAATAACCAAAGTATGAAAGCAACCTAAGTGTCCATCCATAAATGAATGAATAAAGAAGATAGGTATATATATATACACATACAATGGAGTATTAGTCAGCCATAAAACAGAATGAAATCTTGCCATTTGCAACATGGATGGGCCTAGAGGGTAAGTGAAATAAGTCAGACAAAGAAAGACAAAACCGTATTATTTCATTTATTGGGAAATTTAAAAACCAAAACAAAGGAACAAACAAAACAAAATAGAAAGAGACACACAGATACAAACTGGTAGTTGCCAGAGGGGAGGGAGTTGAGGAATAAACAAAACAGAAGGGGATTAAAAAGTACAAACTTCTACTCATACAATAAATATATTATGGAGATATAATGTACAGCATAGGGAATATAGTCAATAATATAATAACTTGTTATGGTAACACATGGGTACTATATTGTGGAGATCACTTTGTAATGTATATAAATGTCAAATCACTATGTTGCACGCCTGAAATTAATATTGTATGTCAATTATACATCAATACCTTTTCTTAATAAATAAAAAGAAACATAAGGGATAAAAAAGGGGAGAGAGGCGGCCAGCAGCCAGATTAGCCATTATGTTCAGTAAATATTATACTGCTTTTAGTGTTAAACCTAAGCAAATCAAAGAATACTATTCTTAAATTTTATAATCAGTTTCAGTATAATATGTATCATTAACACCTAAATAATAAAAACAAAAGAAAGCAATCTACTACACATGAATCAAAGTTCTGGTTCAGCAATCATGTAAGAGAGCTAGTAAAATAAGGACACCTTAATTAGATTCAATTTGGAGAGCAGATCTATTCAAATGCCACACACGTACATACATACACCTTTAGTACTTTTTCCCCTTGTCTATTACTTAAGCTCAGAAATAAGTGAAAGAAAAAAAAGGAAAAGAAACAGGGAGGGAGAGAAGAAGGTGACAGGGAGAAAGAGTGATAGAGGAAGGAAGGGAAGAAGGAACGAGTAAACAAGCAAATGAACAATGGTTTAAAGTAAAGAAAGACTTGACTTAACTCACAGAAACACAAAACTTAAACATAAATAAAATATGACTAAGTCACCTATAAAAATGACAGTAACAAGATCAAATTAAACAAGAAAACTGAATTATAATTCTCAAAAAGTAGACTAAAGTTGAGATATAGTTTAGAATTTTTTTTAAATAGGGAAAAAATTTCAAACAGAATTACTATGGACCTAGAAAAGCTCCGAATACTAGAATAGTATACTCCAGAAGAAACAGTCTTTAAAAAAATAGGTTATAAGCTTCTTAAGGTCAAAAACCATATTATATTCATTTGTTTATTCCCCACAGTGTTTACACATAAGAGTTATTTAATACATTCTTTTCAGTGAACAATTCACTTATATTATAGCTAAATGTTAACTCTCCCTAAAAGAATATCCAAAAGCAGTGCTGCAAGAATCCAAAGTAGGGAGACCACCAATGGTTTTTCTATCATTACAGTACGACATTAGAAGGAAAAATTGGGGTTTCAGAAGTTTCTAAGCAAAGATAAGTTTAGATTCTTAAACGAACTTATGTTGCCTAAATATTAATAAACGCTTAAGAATAGCAATATAGGGGATCATATATCTGTTCTTTTTTTTAATAAGAGAGAACAGTGTTTTTCTTTAAGTAACAGCAAGAGCTTTCTGCAAAATATCGCATTTTAAAAATATATTCACCAAGGTTATTTAAAAAGCAGTTTTGAAAAGTTGGTACCAATTACACAAAATACTGTAAAAAGTATAGAAGCTTGCCCTGCAGGCTAATAAAATTTTTTATAATTACTAGAAAGAAGTGTAAATTATAGAAAATTTTAAACTGATTATGAAAGTAGGTGTTTCATTGCAAGTATCTATGTCTGATTTATTTTAATCATATTTAAACTTTTGATAAACTTTCACATTTATCAAAAGAGCACGCTAATATCTCTATAAACCAAAATTTTAACTGATAAAGAGTGGAAGAGGGTAGAATTCTTCCCACATAGCTCCACCAATTAGAAAACCTAAAACTGTTATGACTTATTTAGTACTCAAGGTCTTTGCGGATATTTATAAAAGAATTGACTTCTCAAAGTTCTAAACGTAACCCTAACTTTATAAACCAGGCTCTAATTCTGATGATTAATAAAAACAGAAGTTAAATTTTTAATGGTATATTCTATTACAAAAGCCTTACAAACTATAGGCATACCTCGTTGTATTATGCTTCACTTTATTATGCTTTGGAAATACTGAGCTTTTTTTTTTTTCACAAATTGAAGGTTTATGGCAACCCTGCATTGCCAGATGATGGTTAGCATTTTTTAGCAATAAAGTATTTTTTTAATTAAGGTATGTACATTGCTTTTTTTTTAAGACATAATGCTTTTGCACTTAACAGACTACAGTGTAAACATAACTTTTATACACACTGGGAAACCAAAAATTCATGTGACTCACTCTATTATAATATTGAGTTTACTGGGGTGGTCTGGAACCAAACCTGCATTATCTCCAAGGTATGCCTGTATCTTATTATATTCTAGAGAAGAGAACAAAGAGGGAAGACAATGCAAACTCGAAAATATCTTTTCATATGCCAGTCTTCAGAATACTTCACATAACCACTTAAAATAACATTTTAAAAATTACATAATATTTAATGATATAATAGTAATTGTTTCACTAGTAATTTGGAAATATAACCTCAGAAAGAGTTAATGTTATCATGCAGAAGCAATTCAATTTTTTCCTCACTTCTGAACTATTTTATTTTCTTCCTAACTAAAAGTGTTATTTCAGAAACTCAAGTTTGACAAAAATTTTCATTAAATGCTTCTAAAATAAGTCATAAAAATGTAAAAATTTTCATAATAGCAGCTATCCCAGGAGATTCTTATTTAAAGGGGGTAAAAATCTTATAAAATATTGGTGAAATAACTTAAATTTCAAAAGACTAAAACCAATTATATATTTAGTCTCAACAGGTAACATCTTTACTTATCAACATATTCTTTTAAAATCAAAATGAAATAAAATCATTGCCATCTGCTTTAAGTTATATCCTAAATTACCAAATACAAATTAACATAAAAGCACTCTACAGAAGTTTTTATACACCTCTACCACACTTTTGAACTCACTTGGGTAAATATGGATCTTTCCAACAGCAGCAGCAGTTTCTACAAAGTTATTTACCTTGTCCAGGTCTTGCAGTTACAGTTGCTCCAGCAGATGGCGGCTCAAACTCCTATCAAATATAATACCGTTATTACAATGACCTACTACTTTTATGCAATTTATAATAAAACAGTAGCGATATCACAGCCTCACCTTTGCTTTCTTTGAGTCTGGATCAAACCTTTCAAGAATTAATTTAGCCGTTTTGTATGTTTCTTTTTCCATGACCTCTTCAAGCTGCAAACAAAACTTTCCATAAATTGTCACATATTAAAACACACATACACTACTTATTTTTACAAGTCTTATTCAAAAAGTATTTAAATACAAAGCTTAAAATAAACAGCACATAACACACCCAGATAGCATGAAAGACTTCCTACATTCAAATAATTAAAATCCGGATTTTTAAATGGCTTCTAACCTCTAATATGTTACTTATATTTAACAGCTTTACTGCAAGGAAATACCAAATATTGCTAATTGTTTACGTATAATGAGGAGAATAATTACATGCACCAACTTCAATAATGGAATGTGCAAAAATCTATCAGCTATCATTATTGGAAGTTATTAGACATGACAAGCAAATGACAGGCAATTCCTCAGATTTATTTCCTCATAGCACTTAATGCTATTAATTTAAAGAAGGTCGTTAGCAAAGAGCTTTACAAAATAAAATCTCTGTGCCAATTAACTGCTGTCAACATCGATTTTAGATTATTTATTAGCAGAAGCAATTAGCTTGCTGCAAATGCAGTGAAAACTCACTAACTGGGAGAACAGCCATGCTCTCTCATGGAATTCGCTCAAATGACTTTAAAAGCTGAAGCTCCCTCTTTTTTATTTAGATTCAAACAACTTTAGAAGGAAAAAACTGAACACAATAAGAATTTAAGTAAAAATTTTACTGAGCTCTATGCTCACACTAGGGATTGTAATTAAAGCACTTCATTATTATAGCATTTTATTTACAATGTACTTCAGTCACTTTATGGTTTAGTATATGGGTTTAATTTAAAAAGTAATCACTAGTAAAATATCATTTTAGCAGTTATAGCCCAATATCAGAAAAAGCTTAACTTTAGAACAAGACAATCATAGTTGTGGCAAATTGCTAATGTATAGAATAAAAGACTTATGTAAAACTTGGAACAAGACCTTTTCCTTCTCAGTGACCACTGATAGCCACTTAGATTCATTAAATATGCTTATTCCAAAGGACATTTATTTTAAAATGCAAAGCAGAGCACATTTACCAAGTAAAAATACAGCTTAAAATATGCTGCCACAATAGTAGTTAATAGATTCCTCATTAAAAACTCAATTTCACATTTAAGAAGTGCTTAGATGATTTATTAACCTTGGTTTAGTGAAATTAAAACATTTTTCTAATTATTTCAAAATTATGATAAATTCTCAAAACAAGCAAGTTTAATTTTCTTATGTGAAGAAACTGTAAGATCACCTTAGAATTGAGGGGAAATTGGGGGTGGGGATAGAGACAAGGCATGATAGAATATATCCCCAAATCAACATAATATACATGAAATATCAAAGAACTGAATCAATCCCTGATCTCTATAAATTAACTTAAAAAAATTTTTTTGGTGGGGGGAAGTAATTAGGTTTATTCATTTATTTTCAGAGGAGGTACTGGGGATTGAACCCAGGACCTCATGCATGGAAAGCATGCGTTCTATCACTTGAACTAAAACCCTCCCCATTACAAATTAACTTTTGATGGTTTAGACCAGTTTTGTAACAAGAGAACTTTATGTAATGATGGAAGTGGTTTATATCTCCACAATACAGCAGCTACTACTATATATGTGATAAATGATCACTTAAAACACTGCTCGTGAAACTAAGGAACTGAACTTCAGCTACTTTTATTCCATTTTAAATAATGTAAATTTAAAAAGCTACATGAGGTTAGTGGCTACAGATTTGGACAGCATAATTCTACAGTAAGGCTATTGCTAGGTATAAAAGGAAGATTAGATACAACTGTGATCTTTAAAACAACACACAAAACTCAAAACCAAAATGCCACTTTTACCAAATAACTGCAATTCCTAGCACATCATTCAGCAAGTATTCATGCTTATGTATATGTACATGTAAAGTAACTTAAAATCATTTTAAAAAGCAAAAGATAAATATCCATTCTCTCTTTCTTTTGCATTTACTTCTAAAATTTTTTCCCATAATAGCTTAACACATCTCTCCTACAACATTTTAAGTGAATAATATGTTTTATAGACATTTGATCAGTGGGAAGAACATGAACATGAAACTCTGAAGTCAGAAAAGATCTGGGTTCAAAGGACATCTCCATTCTTAATTAGCTGTAGAAAGACTTTGAGCAAGTCTGTTAGCCTTAGTTTCTCCTTTTATAGAGCAGAAACATTAACACTGTCTCATAACACTGTTGTGCAATTTAAATAATGCAGGAGAGTCTACAATAGTACCTAACACAAAGACACATATAATTGTCAATGATACTTAAATTATTCAGAATGAGTCTGAAACGGTCTTTTCAAATACCCAACATATTAATCCCAGGATTCAGGAATGAAAAAGTGAATTCTCAGAATTCCCTAAATTGTAAGTTATTCTGTATACTTCATAATATTTTATATATTTTAAACAAGAAGGAATGATATAACAAAGAGTGAGTTGTTTTCTTGCTATATTAAAAGTTTCAGAGATTTTTATTTAAAAAAGAGAATCATAAACACATGGTTGCTTATTTATTATGAATCAACATTATTTTGACAAGATTATATATTTTGAGAACATACAAAAATTACTTCTACCTGATATAGAATTTCATTATAGAGAAATGAAAAGGACACTAACATAAAATAAATGTCAATTTTTTTAATTTTGAAAGATAATTCTATATTTAAATTATAATTCTTGAAATAATGAAAACACACAAAGCATTAATTGCCCTATCCAATATTCATGATCCTTGTTTCATAACAAGTATTCCAGATATAGAAAAATTTCTTTCATTTTGCATTGACTTGGGTCAAATTATTAAGGGTGTGCCCCAAAACATCCTCAACTCACAGAGTTAGGTACATGTTGTGCCATTTAAATTCATATTTTTATAATGATAAATATATAAAAATATTGTCTCATTTCCCTGATTTTGGTTTTGCTTATGAAATCAGTATTGTTTTGACTAATTCAGATTTTAAATCATTTTCTGATTTCATATGAGTATTTCACAGTAATAGTAATCTCTCTCTCTGCATTTCTTCTGTTAAAGTGGTTACAAAGATCTGTAGCCTACAGTGAATATTCAAACACTGGAAAATGCCAGCAAACATTATTGGGTAATATAAAAATGTAACATTTGAAACTTCTAGTGAGGCTAACAGCCCTACATAGAATCACTTGATGAAACTGCCAATTGTAGGACTTCTTTTGCTTCCAAAATTTATTTCATGGACTATCACTCACAGGATTTTGTATACAGAATACTATGTATATAAACTCATTAATATTTATTTGTAAGAATAACTCACCATCATTAAGAGAAAGGGCCTATAAAACATATTTATAACATGGCCACAAAAGGAAGACTGCCTGATTAATTAGATTGCACCACTTCTCTTCTCTATGTCCTATCCTGTTCCCTGAAATGTCCACATTAACCTACAGCTCAGCATGTCAGGATTTCTTGCTCTTGCTTTCAACTGACATTAGTGGATTCTTTTGAACCAGTGACATTTGTAGTGATTGTTAAGCTTAAATTCTCAGAGAATTATAATACTTCCTTCCATGTTCCCAATTTCTCAACTGATCGAGAGAATTTCATGAGAAATGCCAGAAAGGAATCACCATATAGAAATACCTGTATTATTCTGGAAAAAGCACAGCATTTTCATGAAGCCACTTAGGTCATTTTGACTCATGTTTTGATGGATTTTGACTTAAGATCACAAAATATGTGACTGGCAGAATGTACACAACGAAACTTGGGAAGGTTTTTTAGGTAACTAAAGATTAATTCCTGGCTTTATTTTAATAAGTAAGTTACATTACTTACACTAAGTTCTTAGATTTAAAACATTGTTATTACTCATTTTCCCTTTCTAAGTAATTTAACTTTTTAATCAGTTGATGATTCATATTTATTGTTACAAATTACTTTCACACATTACAAATTACATTACAAATCTATCCAGATTAAAGAGATGCAACCTTGAGGAAACCACCTTTAATAAAACGTCAAGTAGTAAATACAATTTATATTAATTTTTTTAGTGAAAGAGAAGGGTTAGGAGTTGGCTAATTTTAAACCAAGTTTTTTTTTCTGCCAGCATTTTTAATATAAATGTGGAGTTAAACACCAAAGAATATCAGTTTTGATTACATTTTGCTTTTGCTCCAAAGTAATGTCCCTTCTTTTTCCTCTCATTACCAGCACAATCATTAGCAAGCATCGCTCCTTATAAATTCACTCTTAATACTTATTGTTCTAAACAAAGTGTAAAACTACTCAAACAAAGCAGGTCTGTTAAGGACTTGAGCAATAAAGGCCAGGGACCAGCTCCCAGCAGCAACAGTTCTTTAACTAACGATCAAGTCAAAGCAAACTGTGTTCCCTAATTAATAAAATGAGTTAGGGCCGCCAACTTATTTTTCTTTAATCATACTGCAAGAGAAATGTCATATTGAACTATTCTGTAATATTTTTGCCTCACGAACCATTTAGATACACAAAACTATTGAACCTTGAACTGAATTTTCCAACTGTCAGACCTAGACGGAGCATCTTTTATGTTGTGATTCCATCAAGGGCTATTAAAGAATAGCGTGGTTTGCCCTTTCACAGAATTTTCCAAGTCTGCTCTGTTACTCTACTGAGAGTTTTTCCCCAATCATGTGTTCTCCAAGATTCTGTCTCCTGGTCATATGATGCCACTAACATTGATTCAGCTTCTCATCACTTAGAATTTTTTCTCCTTTTTTTTTTCCTTTTTCTCTTTTCTTTTGTCTCCCCTCTTTGTCTTTCTACTTTAATCAACATTTCTCCCTTTTGGTACAAGTAGGGCTTGGCTCTGATCAACACTACCAGCACTTCTTTTTATTGCATTGGCAAACCAATCATATCACAACTTTCATATCATTGAGAACCATCAATATTTCCTCATTTTGAATTTCTGGCTGTTCCATAATTTACAGAATGCCAGAAATATAGTAAGATACAATGGGAATATTTCTATGTTTCAATTTAGAACCATCAAAAATGGCAATGCAATTTGGTAAATACCTCACAGAACACTGAAGAGGCATCAAACAAAATGGATAATTTCAAAATTAAAGTTCATTTATTCAGGTACTTAACTCCCTCAAGACTAGTGTCTTGTCTTACCAATTCACGTAATTTTTAACATTAATCTTAACATTCATAACTTTTATTAGTTTCATACTTGTTACGTATTACATGTTAGATTAAAATATACTGAATTGATTTTGCATCCGATTAAATTTAATTAAATAAGTTTCCATGTAACATGATACTGCTATCAATTATCATTTTTATATCTCAAAAATATATGAAAAAAGTATCAGTAAATTCAAGCCAAACACCAAGTTCAATTCACTTATTAAAAACTATTACATACCAACCTCTAAATATCTAGAGTCCTTCCTCTCTTATCTTGGCCCTCCTCTTTCCAGTACATCTGAAGGATGCATTTAATGGCTCCACAATACATGCCCATGTGAGCAGAATTACTGATAGAAAATGGGAAAAAACAAAGAAAAAATATTCTCTCTTCCTCTCTCTCCACCCCCTCTTTTTCAGCCAGGGCTGTTTTTGTTTTTGTTTTTCATGTTAAATTTGTCTTTTACAACCTATCTTCCTGATTCCCTCTCTCATAGCCTTATCGTGTCAAGAAAATCTGAGAACTGACATATGTTTGGCCCTTTTGGGGCTCTATTAATCAATCTAGATATCTACCTTTTTACCCCTCTACCTCATTTATTAGTCCCCCAATATGATTCATTTACTTACTTCTCAGCTTCCAACTGACATGCACTCTCAGAATCTCAAAAGTCCATCTAACTACTTTTTCCTGTCAATCATTATTACCTAGCAAAAATATTCATAATTTAACTTCACCATTAAATTGCTATCTAAAAGCATACTTGTTCTTTGGAGAGTCATTACTTACAACATTTAAATATTAATTATTCAGTTCTTAATTTATTAGTTTTATATAAATTAACTTTAAATAAAAGTTAACTTACTATTTTTTTCTTCTGTGATTTTAAATCATCCAATGCTTCATCTAGAAAACAAGATTTAAATGAAAACTAAATCAGATATTAAGATACTTAGATACAAGAAAAAAAAAATCATGCCAAATGATATACATTAAGCAACTGCAAGAAAACTTTCTCATTTTAGGATTTCTCACTGACTTGTACAGACAAAAAATATCTCAATCTTTATCCATATAAATTTCATATATTTCCCTATATTTTATAAGCTCAGTAGGGGGAAAACGGCTTTACATAGAATAAAACACCATTCCAAATTTTTAAAAAAAAAATATATATATATATACACATACACTTAAAATGTTTTCATAAACATTACTTTTTATTATTTCTCCTCCCTGTCAGCATCCCACCCACATTACTTTACAAAATTAAAACCAAATATCTTTTTATACATTGGTAATAAAAATGTTCTCTCTTTGTTTATAAGGAAAGAAGTACATATTTTATTAAGTTATTCAACCTTCAAGATATTGAGCACTAATAAAAAAATCTTTGAAAATCTGTCGTATTATACCTAAGAAGGGACTTGGAAAGGAAAAGAATACTAATTACTTTTCAAAATTAAAATTTCCAAGATTTGACTGCTTAGTTAGGTTGCATTGGTGGAACATGAAGAATCACTTCAAAGGATATCATTTATGAATGTCAATATCTGCTTTACAAATTTATTTTAGGTTTCTAGTTATCTCTAGAAATAATTAACTGGTATAAATAGAAATACTATTCTGGCTGGAAAGAAGAAAGACTTACAACTTAATTTAAACCTTTTACCAAATAGAATTTAAATAACTGTTCTTAATGTTTAATTAAATTTACAAATAAAACTGTTATCTCATCACTGAAGTTCTGGAGTAGCAAACATCTGAACATCCAATTCAAAACATTATTTACGTAAAAATCCAAAGAAATACAAGCTTATAAAAAGATGATTTTACTATACTTTTTTCCAAAAGGTATCAAGTAGTCTTTAATGTACTAGCAGACTTATTAAAGGGGGAAAAATCTGCTGACATCTTTAAAGAGAATAGTCATCTTGAGTTGGATAAGATCAAGCTAAATATCTATGGCAAACTATTTTAATGCAGAGATCAGCAAACTTTTTCTGTAAAGAGCCAGACAGTAAATATTTTAAGCTTTATAGGCCAAAAGGCAAAACTGAGTCAGTACTTTCAAAGCAAAAGAGTAAAC